CTGAACTCCAAGCGTAGATAAACGAATCCCTACATGATACAGTACTTATTATTGTAATTTCACTTTTTATTTTTTTTTTATTCTTATTTTTAACCAGGGGAAATTCTCAAGCGAAAATAACAGAGCGGAAAGTTGTGCGGTTCATACCCAACCTCTGTTTTGCAGATGGCGTTTCATGCAACTCCCTCCCGCAGCTCCGCCAGACCGGTTTAAATCGGTCTGAACTGCACATGCCCTCCCTCTGATAAAGGCTCCGCTCCCCAGCTATTGCACCACGACAGGGACAGAAAGCATAAAGGTTTCCTGAGGACGCAAGACACATGATCGTCTTCGTTTCGTCACCAGATGCCAGCGGAGCCACGTGGTCGCCGTGGAGGCCGAGAGGAAACATTTTGTAAACAAAAGCCTATGCGTTGGTCTGCTTTACATTCGCGGTGTTTAAAAAAGTGTAGTTAATGCAACTACTGTTCACGTCTCAAGATGCTAAGCGGATGGAGCATGTTCGCGTGTTTGTGCGTGCGTATATCGAATTGTGGTTGCATGAGTTATGTGGAGTGCATGCGTCTTAGCGTCTTGCACGTGCGTATGTGTGTGGGTTCATGCGTAGATTCATGTGTGTGTACAGGTGTATATGTAAATGTGCGCATATATTTGCGTGTGTGTGTGTGTGTGCGTGCGTGTGTGCGTGTGTCCTGTGTGCGTCTGTCTGTTTCTACGTCTACAAACAGAAACAAAAGGACCAAGAGAGAACAGAGATTACAACCTCCCACATCTAACGATCAGATTTTCCGCATTCATCTAAGTCAACAAAGTGAGATCATTGGTTAATCCGTTTTCCTTCGGGCATTCCCCAACCTCGCCCATTCCCGCCAAACCCGAACCGAAACTTAACCTAAAGCCACGAAGAAAGAAAGAAAGAAAAAAAACATAAGTACGCTTTTAGCTCTCCCTCCAGTGATTTATATGCATCATCCCTCGACAAAAGGATGCGTAGCCCTTGTCATATCCGGTGCCATTCTTTCTGACAAGCGAGATTTATAGAAAGATTGGCGAAGACTGCCGAAGGTTCCTTTGGCATTTCGGCGGGAAATGCGATATTCTCGGCACTGTTTATTTTTTTTTTCTTTTTTTTCATCTGCAGAAAAAAAAACTTACATAAAAAACCGGATTTTGTGACATTTGAGGAAATGTCGAATCGTTTTTAGGGGTCAGAATGAATAAGAAATATACACGATGTTTATTCATTTAAAGGAAGCATGATGATAACCACAGTAATGATAAAATGATGGGAATAACAACTATTATGGTGAACATTATAACTATTATTGAACAACTAACTAATAATTAGAACACTGACGATGAAGGGATAATATATGTAACGATAAAACTAATAATACCAATACGAATGAAAATAATAATAATCAAATATTGATGATGACGGTGATAATCTTAATAAAAGTAACGATGATAGCGATAGCAGTAATAAATATTAATATTAACAATAAGGATAAGGATAATGCAATAAAGATAAAACCATCGATAACCGTAGATTAACACCGATAACGACATTGATAAGTTGTACTACCAATATTGGAAATGATCATGATAACAAGAATAAACAGAATATAATAACGGTATTACAAGAATCAAAAGCAGAAACAAAGGCAATATTACTGATTAAATATTCTTGATATATTTTTTATATACACATTCAGTGAAATACTTCAGGCCCTCTCGCTATCATGGGATAATAAATAGATAAATAAAAAATAGATTAAAAAAACCGTACTGGCTATATGAAATAAACAAAATAAAGAGTAATAATAACAATAACGAAAAAATAATTAATAAATAATAACAATAATAATGAAATTAACAATACGATAACAATAATAATGATTCACAAATAAATATTAAATAGAGAAAAAAAAAAAACAAGCATAAAGACAAACATACTTCAAACAAGCATATTCCACCTACAACAATCCCAACATCAAACTGTCCCTACAAATTCAACAACCCTTATTTTACACAAAACGAGGCGAAAAAAGAAACAATAAAAAGAAACAACTGCAACGCCAAAAGCCACAAACAAGTAATTCGCTAGTTCTCATGATGGGCGTCTCTTAGGCTTGCGTCATGTCCGCTCTGAAAACTATAACAAGTCATCTTTCTTTCGGTCTTTTCTAGGTAGGAGTGGTTCCTTTTCGCCGTGGTTGGGTCGTGGATGGTCGTCTGTGTGTTTGTGTGTGTTTGGGGGGGGATGTTTGTTTGTTTGTGTGTGGGGGTTGGTGTGTGGGGGGGGGGGTTGTTTGTGGGGTTGTGTGTGGGTGTTGTGGTGTGTGTGTGTGTGTGTGTGTGTGTGTGTGTGTGTGTGTGTGTTGTGTGTGTGTGTGTGTATGTTGTGTGTGTGTGTGTGGGTGTGTGTTGTGAATGTATGTGGGTATGTATGTGTGTTTTTATGTATGTTATTTCCGAAATGTTCAGACCTACTAATCAA